GCGCCCGCCCCTCGCTCAGCCAGTGAGCGGGAACCGGTCTGTATGTGGGATCCGAACCCTCGGCGGGAGCGCCACCGCGCTCCCAAGCAGCGCACTGTAGCAGTGCGCCACTGGGCCGGCCCAACCAATTGACTTTTGACAAAGGTATGAAAACAATTCAATGGAACAAGCGTTAGTAAAGAACACTCAAAACTTAACAATATGAAGACCAAAAATTTGCTTTAAAAAACGGGCAAAACTTTGAATAGACACTTTACCAAAGAAGATATACAGATGGCAACTGAGCCTCCTTTTATGTGCCTAACACATGAAAAGTCATTAAGGAAGTGCAAATTGAAACTGCAATAACAGACCAGTATACATCTACTAGAATGGCTTAAAAAATGACAATACTGAGTGCTGGCAAAGATGCAGAGCAACTGGAACTCACATACACTGCCTGTAAGGATGCAAATTGGTATGGAAGCTTTGGAATATGGTTTGACAGTTTCTTATGAAGTTAAACATACACTTAACCTGTGAGCCAGCAATTTTACTTCCAGGTATTTATCTAAGAGAAAAGAAATATTATTTTCACACAAAAATCTACCCAAATGTTTATAGCGGGTTTATTCATAACTGCCAAAAACTGGAAACAACCCAAATGTCCTTCTGGTAATGGATAAACAGAGGTGCATCTATACAATAGAACACTACTTAGCAATAAAAAGGAACATGGGTGAATCTCAAAGCATTGTGCTAAGTGAAAGAAACCAGACTCCAAAGGCAAGGTACTGTATGATTCAATTTATATGATATTGTATAAAAGCAAAATTTAGAAATGGAAAATGACATGTTTAGTGGTTGCCAAGACTTGAAATGGGGGAGGAATAGACTACAAAGGGGCACAAAGGAATGTTTTGGGGTGATGGGACTGCTCTCTATCTTGATTGTGGTGGTGATTACATGGCTACATGTACTTATGAAAACTCAGAATTGTACATCAAAAGAGTTTTTGTTTGTAAATTTTGAAAATGTAAATTAGAAATATTAAAATTTGATTCATGTCTACTCAAAAAATCTTTCTAATGTAAAAATTTGGGGCCGAGATCCGCGTGCCGACCCTGCCGCAGAGGTTGACAAGTTGGAGAGAATCAGGATGGAGGCCGTGGCGACCTCGCTGGCAGCGAGGGAAACTGATGAGGGTGAGGTCCTGGCCACGCGGAGGTGACTGGAGAAGGAGGCTGCGTGTCACTAGCAAATGATTCCCCAGGAACGCGAAGGAGGCTGCATGGAGCCTGGACCTGGGCACTGGGGAGAGCTAAGCTGGACACCAGTCCCATCCAGACCCCAGCACAAGCTGGAAGCAGCTGAGGGAGCATCAGAGGCCCTGGACAAAGATACCCCCAGGGCTGAGAACACACTGGTGAGTGCCATGCTGCATGCTGTGGCTGCCACCCACCTTCCTGTGTGCAGTCAGCAACAGGGTGAGCCTGACTTGACAGAACGGGAGAAGGTGGCCATCCTGGGCCAGCTATATCAGGAGAAGCCACTGGTGTTCCTGGAGCGCTTCCGCACAGGCCTCCGAGAGGAACACCTAGCCTGTTTTAGCCACCTTCGTGGCGACCACCGTGCAGACTTCCGCTGTGCTGAGGTGGCCCGGCAGGGCACTGCCCGGCCCTGCACCTTACATACCCGCCTGCGTAACCGTCGCTACGCTGCCCTGCGAGAGCTCATCCTAGAGAGCGAGTACTTCAGCTATGAGCAGATGCGGTTCCGGGCTCCACTGCTGTACGAGCAGTATACTAGGCAGTACCTGACCCAGGAGGAGCTCAGTGCCCGTACCCCAACCCACCAGCCCCCCAAGTCTGGCTCCCCTGGCTCCCCTGCCTGCCCCCTCTCCGACCTGCTGCTCCAGTCCTACCAGGAGCGGGAGCTGCAAGAGCGGCTGCTCCAGCAGCAGGAGGAAGAGGAGGCCTGCTTGGAAGAAGAGGAGGAGGAGGAGGACAGTGATGAAGAAGACCAGAGTTCAGGCAGAGACTTGGAGGCCTTGGGTCCCTGACTCAGAGGAGAGGCTAATCCTGCGGGAAGAGTTCACAAGCCGGATGCACCAGCGCTTCCTGGATGGCAAGGACGGGGACTTTGACTACAGCACAGTGGACAATAACCCTGACTTTGACAACTTGGACATTGTGGCACGGGATGAGGAAGAGAGGTACTTCGATGAGGAGGAGCCTGAGGATGCACCCAGCCCAGAGCTGGAAGGGAACTGATGGCCACTAACCCTCCCTCGGCCAGCCACCCAGCTCCCAGCCCCACCAAAGCAGCTGATTACAAAAAAAAATAAATAAATAAAATAAAAATAAAACAAAGATACAGAAAATCACATAAAATGTATAGTTAAATGAATTTTTCATAAATATCCTTGAAACCCCACTAAGATCAAGAAATAGAACTTTGCCTCTCACTCTAAAATCCCTTTCCATGTGTCCAGTTTCAGTCACAAGCCTCTCCCTCTTCCCATAAGTAATTAGTACCTTGACTTTTACAGTAATCACTTTCTTGCACTTTCATAATTATTATCACTGAAATGTGCATCCCTAGACACTATAGTTTAGTCTTGTCCATTTAAAAAATGTTATATTTCCGGCCGAGCCCGTGGCGCGCTCGGGAGAGTGCTGCGCTGGGAGCACAGCAGCGCTCCCGACGCGGGTTCGGATCCTATATAGGGATGACCGGTGCGTGCTGGCGGTGCGGCCGGTCTCAAAAAGGACAAAAAAAAAAAAGTTATATTTCTTTTAAGCTATAGGTTTTCTTCTATACTTTTATTTTCCTTACAACTTATCAGGCTCTTTAAACTGAAGAGTTTCCCAAGGTTTGAATTTTGCTGATTGTACACCATGGTGAGGTGTAACAAGTTCCTCTGCTCTCTGTATTTCCTGGTATTTGGCTATTGCATCCAGAGACTGGATCAGACTCAGGTTCCATCCCTTTTCAAAGTGTCTGGCAAAACTATAGGAGTTACATAGTGTTTGGTATCTCTCTTTTGTGAATGTTGCCAAGGGACTGGTATCTGGAAAGACAACAGAAAGCACATAATGTCTGGTTATTATCTTTTCATGATATTAGTAGCTGTTAATACTTAATATTTATATCTTTTAATTCATTGGGGTTTCAAAATGGTGATAGTTTAATTCTATCTTTTCTTTTTCATATTTGTTGGAAAACTATAATAAAGAGACAATTTTCCTCATCTGTTATTTGGTTACCCAGTGATACAGTTCATATAGGAAAAGCAGGACAGTGTGATTCTTTCTCTTTACCAGATTTAAAATAATGAATTAGCTCCCTATTATCCTCTGAAGGTAAGCATTTTCTCTTTTTTAGAAATCTCATCCTGAACTCATGAGTTTTAACATATTTGATAGCTTTTAATTTATTGAAATTATTATTTGTTGAAACTCAAATTGTCTCATATTTGGTCACTGGGAGCTTCTTCAACTTGGCTACTCTATACTGTTGACACAATCCTGGTAGTCTTTGATAACTTCCTTGCTATCGAGTCTGACAACAGGTTCATTTTGTACATTTTCTGCACTAGACCTGGAATCAGCCGCTTCCCCAAGATGCCCTTATTTCTTTTAATGAGAAATGATATTTCAAGATTACATTCTAGATGTTAGGGGTGTTCGTTCCTGCTGGGTTGGTCATTGTTCTTTTGTTTGTTTTTTTTAAACTTCAACAATCTTTATTTCCAAACTCATGCAGCGTTAACTCTTTAACCTGGCTAATAGCAAAAATATCTCTAACAAGATCAAAGATGGAGGTGCAAACCCAATAAAGATTGTCTCTTCTAAAAAAGGATTGGAAAAAAATATGTGTCTGCATAAGTATTTTTTCAAAAAGTAAAATTCTCCAGTGTTGTAGAAAAAAATATACCAAAGTGATTCAGGCCATAAAAAACAGAATTCAGCAGTCTGTGTTGCCTTAAAAACCCCAACTCAAGATAACCCTAGGAGAAAATCACCCATTTAAAAAAAAAAAAATCCCCTTTCTGCTGTCTCTTGTTCAACTTCCACTGCTTACTCCAAGAAACACCCCCCAAAATTACAGGATAAACAAGACCCAGCTCATTCCTCTCAGCCTCTACCTGTTAAGGCTCACACCAAGGACTATTCCTAAGGAATCTTCACCTCTACTACAATCAAGAAATCAATCCCTAATTTCTGGACCAGACTTCTAGAAACTTACAAAACATCTCCCTGCTTCCTGCAAGTAGGAGCCTAAGGGCCCCTTGAAAGATCAAGGGGGCATGCAGTGCTCCTGGAATGCTTGTGGGCTGTGCGAGGGGATGGCGGGCCCTCCTTGTAACAAAAACAGCCAACACCTTATAAGCTGAAGTCTAACCTACCGGGTAAAAAGAAGCAGGGTGTACAAAGCTACTTGCTGTACGATGTCGGGCCTTCCTGAGCCAGAGGCCGACAAAACCGAGCGGGAAGAGACCCCGGTCCAGCCGGGGGTCCCTTGTGGGACTGAGTGGGATGATGAGTGTCGCTGGCACGGCCCTTCCCCCCCAGGACCTTCCTCCCCGGGGGCCGAGAAAGAACACCACCGAGCCAGGAGAGTGGTCAAAGCCGGAACTCCGTTTATTTGCAGGGCGGCACAGCTTATATAGGGAAAAAGGGCAGGGCGGGTTTTGATATGAGAGATCAAGCAGAGAGCCAATAAGAAGGGCTTAAAAGGATAGGGTGAGGTGGTGGGGAGGCTTTACGCGAATACGGAACTAAAGTTGCTGAATCACTGGGACCCGGAAGGGCGAGGCTGGCAGCTACGTGCCGTTGAGTGCTAGTGAAATGGTGGCCGCGGAGCGC